TCTTTTTCAATAGATTTATTTATATGAATCAGCTACGTTGTGCTGTCAAAGATTAGATTTTGCAGGATTGTGCTGGGCTCGATTATATTTTGCAATGCCGTAGTAGGGGGCGTGTCTTGTGCTGCAATAGTTTATATTTAGTAAAATCACCACCCGGTATTATTAAAAAGGAGGTTTTTATGGGAATACAGTTAATTAGACCCAATATATAATTTTCCATCAAAGAAATAAACAAAATATTGATTTGAATATTAGAATAAAAAATGGAAGATTGAAACAAACTGCATATATACCAAATACCTTGGTATTTGGATTGATGAAAAGTTAACATGGGACAAGCATATAGGCATGCTCTAAAAAAAATGTCCCCCATAGTTGGTGCCTTAAGAAGATGTTCAAAACTTATCCCATATATAGCAAATGAATACCGTTCTATACTCTCACATCCTTAGTAAAATGAACTATCTCATAAATATTTGGGGTTCATGTTCCAAGAATAATTTCAACAAAATATCTGTACTATATAAAAAACATTAAAAGTACTGTATCATCTTCCATATGACACCCCATCAAATCAACCTTATGAAGAAACAAATACATTTTCTTTGGAAGAGCACTATCTGATAAATACTCTCAAAATTTATCTTGATATTATCAACAAACACCTCAAAGGACCCCGCACAAAACCATAGGGAATTGGCCCACAGTGGGATTTGCCTGAAATTCACATATGTTATTTTTATGGAGTTCCTGATCAAATGTTTTCATGTGACCAATCCTCTAAGACCAAAGATTTAGCTCTCAGGACCGTATTTAGTATAGGTGCCAAATAAACAATGACACTTTTTTTTTCAAGCCCATGATTTTTGTATCTCCCAAGATGATTCAATTAAATGAGAAATATTGCGAAATCTTGGCATTCGTCTTTGAGCACAAGTCCTCTGTAAAACATGTTTGTCCTTCCTACAGGACCGTATTTAGTAAAACTGTATTTGCCAAAGTGCCGAATCGAATTGATTTTGTTATTACTTTCTTATTTCTTGTCCTATTTCAGTGGTCGTTTGATAGATGAATGTAGATTTCTTTGTGTATATAAGAAAAGTGGTCACCATCTTAATATTCAAGATGGTCGGCCTAACATTTAATCTTTATGTAGGACATATCTCGTATCTTTTTAGGAATCATAGTATCAAGAAAAGATGAGAACACGTTTCGATTGTTGAAATCGGTCATTTACTTTTTCAATTACCTAACTCTGTAATATAAATATAACTCTATCATCGAATTGAAACTACATCTAATTCATTACTAACAAAGTTGAAACAGATATTCACAGGGTGGTGAACGAAAAAATCGAGCACTCACTATCAACATAATTCCCGAATACTAACAGCTGCTGGAGTATTGCATCTTGCACTGGACGATTTGCGGCATCTTTTATATGCTGTAACACATAAGTCGATGGATAACTCACATTGTGATTATGGCCGTCGAATCCTAAATACCACAATATGCTACAAATATAAGCACATGTTCCTAGTGTCCTTTCCCCTGATGCAACTGCAGTAGTATCCTATTATCAATACATCTTCTTCATTATTCTCGTCAGGCTGGTTTTCATGCGGAGTGTATTGAATAAATACTTGATATTTTTCTCTCCTCCTGAATCGAGAATACACTCTAAGTCCAATGAATCCAGGTTCATTCACTCTGAGATCAATTTCAAACGACTAATGATCATCTCTAAGTATTCTGTCTTGGACATAGGACGCTGATAATTTGATTTGATATGTTCCAAAAGTCACGTTTCTCAAGTTCTCCATAGATAGGTGTGGAAATCGAGGAACATGCTCATTATTAAGTTGCTGCCATAATCCACGTCGATTAGATAAACGTTCTTCTTCCACCCGTTGTTGAACAATATTAATATGTTTAGACCTGGCTAACATAGATCTTGCTAGTTCAACTGTAGCTTTTGCCATTAAAATTGGTGGATAATATCTGTTGATAATAGCACCAGAAATTAGGTAGAAGTCTTTCAAGTGTTGAAGATGTTGCATGTTTATCACTTGGTCGAAGAATTTGAAAATTGTCTTAAAATGGCCATAACGACTTTCTATTACCCATCGACACTTTGTATGGGGTAAGGCCACTAGGAACATGTGCTCATATTTGTAGCTTATTGTGGTATTTAGGATTTGCCCGCCATAATCAAAATGTGAATTATCCATCGACTTATGTGTTACAGCATATTAAAGATGCCGCAAATCGTCCAGTGCAAGATGCAATACTCCAGCAGCTGTGTTCGGGAATTATGTTGATAGTGAGTGCTCGACTTTTTTGTTCACCACCCTGTAAATATCGGTTTCAACTTTGTTAGTAATGAATCAGATGAAGTTTCAATTATATAGTAGAGTTATATTTATATTATAGAGTTAGGTAATTGAAAAAGTGAATGACCGATTTCAACAATCGAAACGTGTTCTTATCTTTTCCTGTTACTATGATTCCTAAAAAGCTACGAGATATGTCCTACATAAAGATTAAATGTCAGGCCGACCATCTTGAATATCAAGATGGTGACCACTTTTGTTATGTGCACAAAGAAATCTACATTCATCTATCAAACAACCACTGAAATAGGACAAGAAATAAGAAAGTAATAACAAAATCAATTCGATTCGGCACCACAAATATCACCCAATTCAAAATCAAAGTCAAGAAACATATCCTCTAGCAAAGAGAAAATCAAACCTGAGTGAATGATTTCTCATTCACTAATTTATTTCATCATGTCATAATGTACTTTTCATGAGCTTTGTGTTTCATTATTTTTTTTTTTTATTCTGTTGGTGATTTCAATAACTGTAATTTAATTTGATTATGCATGAATAATCTCATACCAGATATGAATCTGTCTGATTATTCATGTTATTCCATTGTTAATGAGACAATTTTCAATTGTGATAACTTGATATTGTTAAATATTTATTGACCTATGTACAGGGTGATTGACTATGGATTTCTCGACTTCAACAGCTTATATCTCGAAAACGAAAAAAGATATTTGAAATATGGAGAAAAGTACTTGAATGAGATGTCATTTCCTTCTAGAAAATGTGTTCTCTGCTTGATTTTATTATTTCATATACAGGGTTCGTGAAGAAACAATTTTTTTTCAAATGGAACCCCCTGTATATTATCGCATATTTCGAAAGAGCTATCTTTCCTGATTTCGAAGATATATACTCTTCATATATTCTATCGAGGGCTTGACGAAATATCAGCAAAATTAAATATCAATATTTGATCCAAGTTAGCTATGGTTGAAATAGAATGAGATGATGAATAAGTGAATTGACATTTGGCCAACATTCCAGTGAAATAAGTGCGCAAAATTTCGACAATTTTCTCACGATGCCATATCCACTGGAACAAAGGAGAGATATTTTGGAGTGCTATCATTCAGTTTATAAAAATCTTGCTGAAACACTTACACTTATACTTACTTAAATTTAATCTTTCAGATATGACAAGACAAAATTTAATCCGCTTCTCATTATCATCATAATTGAGTTTGTGGCATGGTCTGAATCTGAAATCCCTATATTTATATTTCCTTAAGGTATGTTGAACATAATAATAGCTGAAATCAAACTCTCTCACTGCATTTCTTATTGACCGTGAAGGATCCTCAACAAAATACTGGATTACAAGAAGTTCCTTGTCTTCGTTGTCTTGCCTTCTCACTATTCTCTTGATATTCGACAAACTGGAAGTTCTGTCAAATTTATCAGCCAAATACTTTACATAATTCTTACTTGGTAATCTCCTGCCTGGATAACTCCTCAGGAATTCACAGCCTTATTGACACATGACATGATATAGATTTATAAAGCTTCTAGTTAACAATACTGAAATGTGATATTTATAGAACTAAGTGTATATGTTTGTCTGACCAATGTGATCATGTTTATTGATATTTATTCTATTTCCTTTATTTTATTTTTTTCATTTACCTATTTATTATCAAACGATTGTTTTTTACATACATTGACGAGTGTAAACATTTTACAATGTAGTAACACTATAAATAAATACAAATACAAATAAACTTATGAAGTGTTACAGCAAGATTTTTATTAACTGAAAAATAGCACTCCAAAATATCTCTTCTTTGTTCCAGTGGATATGGCATCGTGAAAAAATTGTCGAAATTTTGCGCACTCATGTCACTGAAATGTTGACCAAATGTCAATTCACTTATTCATCATCTCATTCTATTTCAACCATAGCTAACTTGGACCAAATATTAATATTTAATTTTGCTGATATTTCGTCAAGCACTCGATAGAATATATGAAAAGTATATATTTTCGAAATCAGGAAAGATAGCTCTTTCGAAATATGCGATAATATACAGGGGGTTCCATTTGAAAAAAAAATTTTTTTTCACATACCCTGTATATGAAATGATGAAATCAAGCAGAGAACACATTTTCCAGAAGGAAATGACATCTCATTCAAGTAACTTTTTCCGAATTTCAAATATCTTTTTTCGTTTTCGAGATATCAGCTGTTGAAGTCGAGAAATCCATAGTCAATCACCCTGTACATTTATTTATTTTTTATCCTCACTACAAGGTTAACTTCGTAAGGTTTTTCCCAGTTTATTCAAATTACCTTTATGTTTATTCCAATGTATATTTTGTAAACGTTTTTGAATAAACTTATATTATTATTATTATTATTATTATTATTATTATTATTATTATATTTATATTTATATGAGATGCCATGTGATGTTTATAGCAAAGAATGGAATAAATAAATAAATAAATGCCAATATTAAGGATATAATCTGTCATTCATGAAAATAGAGTCAAAATCAGACAAGTAGTTTTGATGAAAATGCACCTCAAACTTTCGGATACATTTTAGTGGTGCATTAATTCTTTGGAGTAGTGTATGAAAATTTCACAAAATTTCGAGATCAGTACCTGTCTGAAAGGAGCATGAGGATCAGGCTCCGCCAACAAATATCTGTACCCGTCCTTGTTGAAGGGATGATCCAAGGGGTAGCCGTGAGCAGGCAGTTTCGCCACTCCCAAATCCACGCCCCTGCCCTTCTTCCCTTGCAAGCCCACATCGCCGGGGTACTTCCTTTTCGTGTTTCTCGATTTCACGTTTGAGTTCGCTGAAACTGACATTATTATTACGTGCGAATCGTAAATATTTTTCGTGCATCGATCGATGTTTCTTATCTTTGTTATCGCAGATATGGGATTGTTATGGTATGCGTGACTTATACAAATTATAGCCAGGGTTGGAATAAGTCAGAATTAATTCCCAAAAGGAAAATATTAACCTTAAAGAAATCCAAGTTTTTACTCTCTTCAAGAATCTTAACACTCATTATTCCAAATTTTTTGGGATTTTCTCTCTTCGTTTCTATGAAATAAAAATATGAATATTATTTCAATATACGTGTAGTAAGGAAAAATCAGATGATTTGCCCCAAAATGTCACTGCGTTTAAAGAATTTTCCTATTAGAGAGCCTAAAAAAAATTCACTAACTTGTCAGTGACAATTTGTATTGAAAAAAGTTTGGAGAAGAGAAATAACGGTATATAGAAAAAATATTAAATTTTCACTTATCTTTGGACGTTTCGGGCCCGATTCTGCTCCCGTTTTCAACATGAGAAGAGATTATTTCAAAAGTCGTATAGGTAATATGTCTTGAAGCTTTTCAGTTTTCAATGACAATTGGTGACGTTAGCAATCAAATGAGTTACAGGATGTTTTCATTAATTAATCTTGAATTTACCATTTTCATGTTCAGATTTTAGTAGTGAATAGCATGTTCTGTCTATATCAACTGAACATAAAGCAATGTTATTGTCTCTGTTCAGAAGAATGCAAGCAGATTCCTTGATTTTTCTCTTCTGGTTGTTATCTTTGTTTCCAATGATTTTAATATTATTCCACTCTGCCATATGTTGTCCATCTTCAGTAAGGATATCTTCAGCTAGTTTCGATTTATCGATGTTTCTTTTCTTTATATTGTACTTATGTTTCCTTCGTCCTTACTGAAAGAGGTCTCTTGGTTTCACCTGTATAAAACTTTCCACAAACACAAGGTATACTGTGAATACAATTTTTTGACGATTGTTCTTCATGTTTCGGCTTTGTTTGAGTTAAAATTGATCTCATAGTATTTTCAGTTTTGATACGACTTTTTCTATATACCTTTATTTCTCTTCCCCAAACTTTTTTTCAATACAAATTGTCACTGACAAGCTAGTGAATTTTTCTTTTAGGCTCTCTGATAGAAAAATTCTTTAAACGCAGTGACATTTTGGGGCAAATCATCTGATTTGTCCTTACTACACGTATATTGAAATAATATTCATATTTTTATTTTATAGAAACGAGGAGAGAAAATCCCAAAAAATTTGGAATAATGAATGTACCACCTCCTCGATTAACCTACAGACAGTATTTAACAAATCTTAACACGTTGACTGCCGGGCTCATATTCACACTTTTGGTATAAAATCCGAAGCAAAATTAAAAAATTTGTCCCAGCAACCATCAGTGACTCTATGTAGCTTTTTGATAATTGGGACCCTAGATCCTAAAACTTCAAAAATTTCAGCTCGGTCTTATTGACCGACTCGGCACTCGTGTATATATATGTATACCTGTGTACGCCGCGTTCGTCTGGTAGCTCGGTCCGGCCGACTTCGGCCTCGGTCTAGTGGTCTAGTGCTGTACAAAATACTTCTCTCAACTTTCTTTTTTGAATATGTCACGTGTATCTCGATTGTGTAAGTGATATTTGTTTAGTTTAGAAAATTAGCAGATTTCAAGATCGTATAAATTCCCTGAGTCAGAGGATAGAGATCAGCCCCTAATTTCAAATGAATAACGCACCTTCTGTTAAGTATGTCCTGAAGAACCAGTATTTTTCCTGGATTGTTGCAGAAAATTTGATAAGAATATATATAGATTAAGTACACTCACATTCGATTATATTTACTAAAAAAAAAAAATATGTTACATTTTATCCATTTTATCGGCCTACCAAAACATTCTGTGCCACGCCAACTCGGTCTGTGTGTCTGATGAAGATAATTTACAATGCAAACTTGTCACTGAAGCCGTCTAGGTCACTCTCCGCAATATAATTGACAATAATGGGCTTATATCACAAAAAAATTGTTACATCAAAATTCGATAGAACTCACTCAAACTAGCTCAACACCGAAAACCGTTTCTTGCTGTGAGCTCCCTACGTTTTATAAAAAATTATTGAAATCCCCGATTTTTCGGACCTCTGTAAACGAGGCGATGATGTGACGTCAAAATTCTAATACTAAAAGAAGACTATTCCAGACAGATATGAATGATACGTGATTTCTGACAGAGTGAATTAGCGCGAGATCACAGTTGAAAGAATTAATATATCAGTTGCCTCAGTCTCCGTCGGGCGTTTGGTATTTTCTTTTAACTATGGCGAGATGAGGTTTCTACGTCATAAGAGGGCCCGTTTTCAGAAGGTACTATTATTTATGTCCAAAAATAAAACATTCCAGTTAATTTTTCGATCGAATTATGTCGTCAATCATTATTTATGTATAAAAGGATCATTATAAACATGATTTGAATTAAAAGTTCTACTAAGGTGTACACGTCCATTGCTCGAAAAACTAATCTCTTGTCACCAACGAATAATTTTCAATGATCTGTTGAAACTGGAATAATATTCAAATTCTCAAAAGCCAGTTTTGCATGAAACAAAATATAATCCAGTCCGAAACAGGAATGCAAGGAGTTATGAAAAATAAATAACTAAATTAAAGTAGAAATGAAAAAAAAATAATGAAGAATTGAAAAAAATTAGAAAACCATGCCCCTTGCAAGCCCACATCCCCAGGGTTGTTTCCTTTTCGCGTTTCTCTATTTCACGTTCGCGTTCACTGAAACTGACAGTATTATTAGGCACGTGACTGTGATAAATACTGTAGATTTAGTTTAAACAAGTATGTGTTCACATCTCACAAACGATAAAATTTCTACAAAATTCTCAATCACATGACATGTTTCGCTAACACAGTAGTTTCATCAGGTGAAATACTGGTAATATGAAAAAAAAACTATTTTCCATATTTCAAAACGGAAGATATGAACGTGGAGCCGTGACGTATTAGTCTTGAACTCTGGCTATCTCTGTCTAATACCTTGTCATTCTGAAGTGTTGCAGTGTCACACTAGAAACACCAATGAATGTTTAGTTTCATTACATGGTTTAGTATAACTATTTATTTTCTTTAATAATTATTAGTGATATGAGTTAATATTTGCATTAATTTACATTGAATTAAATAAGGTAAACGCTTGAGTGGGTAGCGACACTTTTGAATTGATTATTTCGCGCTTATTGAAAGGCAGAATTTAATAGTGGCTCTGGATGCTGCTGCCCTCTTTTCGGCTGACACCTGTACTAAAACGTGAGGTGTATGTGCGCATCGCGCGAGCGATTGAATTAATGAGACGCTACGCGACACACAACGCAAAACTATAGAAAAACCTATAGGTACCGAACACCTTTGCCGGTAATGAGAAAAGGTGCTTCAATAGAACCTCTAAAAATGCGATAAGTGACAAAATTCGTGAAAACAAGAAGATCCTACCTGTGGAGCGACACCGAAGAAACTAAAGTTGGGTAAGTCACTTTATTTTCTGCCAATCAAACGACAATAAAAATATTACAGTCCACGCTCAATTCAACATTTGGTTGAAAAACCAGAAAAGTTCATTAGAAAATCATTTGACGATAAGCTTTATAACATTAAAACAATTTTTAATGAAATTTTCAATACACGACAAGATTTGAATAATACCGGGCGTTCAGCCTCAAGTGAACCAGGTTCAAATAGTGTAAAATTGCCAAAAATAAAATTACCGACTTTCAGAGGTTCTCCAAAGGAATGGCCCACCTTCTATGATCTATACAAAAATACAGTTGACAATAATCAGTCACTTTCTAACTCTGAAAAGTTTCAATACTTGATTTCTTTGTTGGAAGGGGAGCCATTGACTTTGGTAAAATCCTTACCTACTACGGATGCGAATTATACTGTCGCTTATGACACTTTAGTAAAAAGATATCAGAATAAAAGATTATTGGCTATAGCTTATTGGGATGAAATCCACGACTATCCCAAACTTTCTAACGATTCACCACAAGCCCTGAGACAGCTATTAGATGTATTCAATGAAAATATTCAGGCTTTGAGAAACTTACAATTTGACATAGATGCATGGGATTTCATTTTATTTCAAACTCTAGTTAGAAAAATAGATAATGCAACCGTAACTCGATACGAACTTCAGAGAAAAGTAGGTAACCCTAATGAAGATGTTCCTTGTTTTAAAGAATTGACGGAGTTCCTGAACAAACAATGTTCTGCAATGAACTCTGCCGCCATTAGCGCACCTATTGATGATAAACGCAATTTGAAGATCATTCCAACAAGAAATCAAATAACCCGCAATGCCTCTAACCTTTTGGTGGCAAATGTTACTCGCGATAATAGTACTGAAGCACAATGTAGTAATATTTCTTGCATTATTTGTAAACAAGATCATGCTTTACATAGATGTCCAAATTTCTTACAAAAAACTCAAAGCGACAGATACGATTTTGTTAAACGAAATCGACTTTGCCTGAATTGCTTATCATCTCGTCATTCTATCATAAATTGCCGTTCATTCTCGTCCTGCAGATCGTGCGGTAAAAAACATCATACGAGCCTACATATTAATAGAAATGAGACGCTACGCGACACACAACGCAAAACTATAGAAAAACCTATAGGTACCGATCACCTTTGCCGGTAATGAGAAAAGGTGCTTCAATAGAACCTCTAAAAATGCGATAAGTGACAAAATTCGTGAAAACAAGAAGATCCTACCTGTGGAGCGACACCGAAGAAACTAAAGTTGGGTAAGTCACTTTATTTTCTGCCAATCAAACGACAATAAAAATATTACAGTCCACGCTCAATTCAAAATTTGGTCCTTCGAGCCGGAACAATATTTCAGAAACAGACCGGTTACATTCTTCAATGCCGTTTGACGCTGAGGATTCCAATACCTGTTTAAAAATTTTAGGGCTTCGGTGGTATCCTGCTTTG